AAACAAAATGCTCAAGGCAATGACTGAGAAGAGCTATGTCCCCTCAACTATTTTTCTGGTAACTAACTTATGGAAAAAAAGAGGCTGCTCTTTGTAGCCAAAACGTCACATGCTGAGAACTTTCAAAAGCTTTAAATGGCTCCTTTCAAAACTCATTTTGACCTCTGCACAATATTATACATGTTCCCAAATGACTGCCATATTTCATAAACATTGTAAGAAATTTGATGGCCTGAACCTCAAATGACATTTCAAACCATCTGTTTGAATAAAGGAGGCAGTCTGCCAAATGTGAAATATCCTACATGCTTAGCTAAATATTCATTCAACAAACAGACCAGCATCAAGGTATTCATAGAGAATAACGTGGTACATATACATACTAATAAAAATATTTGTGATAAAATAGGCCAAGCACATTTACATTGTATGTACCTGACACTGAATTAGAATTGACTCCATTTAACAGCACACATCACAGAGAATCATTCAACTTGAGAACTGTGACTGTTTTTTGCGTCTCACATACAGAAGTAACAATACTCTGCAAGCAGTTCATTAAAAAACACAAAAAGGTAAAGAAAGTGACACCTGCAAGTCCTAAGACCAGACAGCTAAAGAGTAAGTAAAAACAGTCATAATTTTTCCAGCCTCCATCATAATTTGATGCCTATTTTTTATATACTTTCTATCACAAGATGAGACATAATATCAAGGGGAATTAAAGGGACAGGAGGTCTGATGGAAAAAAAAATAATTCAGAGACAAGTTAAAGATGCTAGAGGATGTTTCTATTTGTATTGCATGCTTATGATTTTCTACAACACTTTTCAACCATGTTATAGTTGAAAACTATTCAGCTATTTGAATGTTGAAACTTATAGCTTCAACTATAGCTGAAAACTGAACACATGTGCGAACATGTTTCTACCTCTTATTATGTCTTTTTTGTTTAGTTTTTTTAATTGAATATGAGGTGTAAAATTTAATACAATTTCAAGACCTAACCTAGTAATAATAATTCATGTCGGTCCTCTGATCTTGTATCAGTGTTTCGGGCGCCCTAAGACTAGTGCTTGTTGCCAGTGTAAGGAATGGGAATGTAAAAACCTTTTGAACCAAAGCAAAAATATTGCCTTTGCTGGAGGTCCTCTGTAACCTGTCAAAAGTTTAGCTGACTGCTCTTCACTGCTATATTTAACTAAGGAAAAATTAAGCAAAATAACACAAATAAGGAAGTCGTAAATTCAACATGCTGATGTGCAAAGAGCCACTGCAAGGAACTTACGTAGTGATGGGCAGGTGCTTGGCCAGGAAAACTGTGCTTTGTGTGGATTTACTGTTATCAGTAAAATGCCTACATAAATAAACCAGCAAAGCAAATTACTTCGCAACACTAGCATTTATTATACAACTGTCCTAAGTAATCATCAGACCAGGCAACCCGCATCATGAAGGGATGAAGTACCCAGCCCCTGAAGCCATACAGCCAGCCTTAGCAATACTGCCACCAAACACTGCTTTTTAGCTTTTACAGGAAAAACAAACAACTAACTCCTTCCTCACCCTCATTACTAAATATATCCATCTGAATTTTGCAGGATTTCATTAGCAACCCCCGAATATATTCTGCAAAACTACTCTTTTTTCCCCTCACCCCAGGAAAACGTAATGCAACTGATAGTGGAAACTGAGTCACTATGTAATCCTTCGGAAGCCAGTTTGTGAAACTAAATTATATAAAGTATTCTTTGACATTTCCATTTCATGTTCATGTTTGCTGCCCTGTGAGAAGATTTCTTCTTATTTCATACATCCAGCTGCAGCAAAGACAGATTACATCATCTACCGCAGGTCATAAAACAAGCCTGTGCCTGGTACCTTGCACTTCTTTTTGCTGTCTTAACCAGAAAACAAATCAAGGGAAAGAAGATAAGGGAAAAACAGTTTCCACTGCATAAAGCATAGGCACTTACACTTTTTAGCTGAATATTCATTTTACATTTCTTTTCTCCCACAGGTGTGAAATACACCAAATTTCACCTTTTTTCTCTCCTGCCTTTAAAAGGAGAATTCCCTTTTTTATCCCCCTAAGTATTCTGCTGTGTACATAAACTTTTTATGGATGCTATCTAACCAACATTTCTCCATAAACAAGACACCCCATCCCCAGTAATCCTCAACAGGGCAGAAAAACTCAATCATGAAAACACAATGAAGGCAGTGATTCATGTATAGACATAAAGTACTCTCAAACCCTTTCCCAGATAAAGGACATTGACTTTGAAATTCTTAAAGTACCTACAGGGGTCTCTTACAACCCAGAAGCTATTCAAAGCCATACATAATGTGTTATTTATAGGATACTAGAAATTTCTCAAGGTGAGGACCTACTTTTAAGTTGTTACAGATCATCAGGAAACACTGGTTTATGTAAATAATAGTTTATTATGTCTGGTTTGTTTTTTTTTTTTTTTTTCACTGACATGCATATATAGGGAGCAACATTACAGAAAACCAGCAGCAATGATTCCTCCCAGTGACCTCTAAAGTAGTCATACTAAAGAAAATCGGAACTTTGCATAGGGTGGGTTTTTTTCCTGCATGGTGAGTTCTTGTTAAAACAGATTTCTCTTAAAGGGCCCCAGGTGCCTGGGAAAGATTACCAAGTACCCCATGACAAATACTAGTATGGTTCACGTCTGCAAAGTATATGCTGCTGAGACCACCCAAGTCTCTTGCAGATTCCTTTAGTGCCATCTATTACTTTCTCTGTGATTTTGGTTAAGCCATTTAAAACTTCACAGAACAGATATATACAGAATAACCTCCTTGCAACAGAATTCCTCATTCTATCTCTAAATCATAACATATGCCTCTTCTGAGACAGTTTAAAAGACAGCCAGCAAAATGACATTTTTGCTTTTATTTACTAGATCTACAATTATTTCTGAGATTAGCAAACTAGAAATAGGGTATTTTTCCTCTAGTTAATTTATGCTGTGCTGAGCAACTTTTGCTGTAATTAACCTTACACCGAGAAGCTAATGATGCAATACACACAGATGTACTTCAGCCAAACATAGTATCTGTGAGATGACACAAATCTCCTCTGAGTAAAACGTTCTGGCTTCCCAAGCCATGATGCAGAAACTAGGTCTCCTGGATCCAGCTGCCTCTTCTGAACAAGGGCAGAAATGTTTTAAGAACAATGTGAAAGTCAATCAGTGGAAACATCTAGACCAACTTTTTTTTTTAAAACTCTCTTCAGATTTGTTGAATGAACTCATAAGCTCTTCAAACTCACTAGAATTTTTACTTTTTAAGTCTACTACTAGTTGTAGTAGATTTTAAAAAGGACAAAAAACACCACCAAAAAAAGCCAAGGGGTAAACACTTGGCATCTTCATAGATGAGTTATTCTAGTTCAGGTAACCCATAAACAGTGACAACTACAGCACGACAGTGCATCCCAAAGGGCAGCCTTCATGCTTTGGTAAACAGCCCTGGTCTGTATGCACAGCGCATAGCCCAGGGAGTCTGCAGACCTACCTACCTCTCCCAACAGAAGACTATGGGAAGAGGGAAATTATGATGTTCCCCTCTAGCTGTGTGGAGATCTATGTCCTAAATTTAACTTTTGGTTAATGGTCTAGAAAACAAAATAAATTACAACTACTGCTGCCACAGCCATGCTGCTGTACCTGGCCTTTCTTCTCCACATGTACACTAACTCACAAAGTACACGGCTGAGCCCATCAGCCAAGTTTGCAGTGCATCTGTGAAAATGTGTTTCTGAAAGGGCAGATAATGGCAACGGAGGCACAAGGTTAGAGGGGAAGGAGCTGTTTTGTGGTGGGGCAGCTGTGCTCTTCTGGAGGACCCAAACTGGAGCATAGGGTAAGAATGAGGAGTAGCAATGAGAAACCTCTGAGCACTGACCCCAGCCTCATGTGCTGCTTGCTGATTCACTGAAGGGACCGACTGTAAACTCTGACAATAACAAGGGGTTAAGGAGAGGGGTCTGTGGTGGAAACTAGGAAGGAAATAGAAGAGGTGTCTGAAGTGAAGCTTAGCCTGGAAAAGGAGGAGGGATTTTTCTTCAAATGCCTGAATATTTGTGAGTTGTTGGTGTGGTTTTTTTTTTCAATATTCAAATCACTAATTAAATTTATTAAACTGGCAGTGAATTAACTTAATTCCCCAAGTCAAGACTGTTTTGCCAGTGCCAGTAACGGGTACGTGATTTCCCTGACTTTACTCTGTGACCCACTTGTCTTCCTCCTTTCGCTCCTCTCCCACCGTCCCGGTCAGGGTAGGGCAGTGGCCGGGCAGGCGTTCATCTGCTGCCAGTAACCAGCCGGCCGCTGGGGCTGCTCTCAGCCAACCGGCTCGCTGAAGAACGAAGAGACAGGTTTTGAAGGCAGGCACGGACAGCAGCCCAGCCCCGACCGGGACCTCCTGAAACTCCACAGGCTTATCCACCGCTGTCACCGACGCGGTCGCGCTAAGGGGAGACTGGAGCCTCGCTCCCGCTGTCGCCACCGAGTACCGTCCCCACGGCCTGCGCACTGCGGCCTCCGCCAGCGGCCCCTGCCTCCATCCATGCGCTCGTCGTGCAGCCGACGGAACGCCTTGCTGCTGCTCGCCTTGGCCCAGCGCAGCCCCGAGCCGCCTCCGTTTTCCCCGCTCCTCCGAGGGGTGAAGGGCCGGCGCAGACGTTACCTCCACCCATTCGGCCTCGGCGCCGTGTTCGGGCGGCTTCACCTGCAGCCGGGCGGACGTGCACTGCTGGAGCAAGGCCCGAGCCAGCGCCGGCTGCGGCACAACCGCCATAACGATCCCGACTCGGCCTGAGGAGGGCGGGGGAATGCGTTCGCGGTGCGCGGCCCCGTCGCTGCCGCCGGTATTCGCGTAACGCCTTTCCGGCACCGCAGGCCGCGCCGCACTGAGCGGTGCTGTGGGGCTGGGGGTCGCATCCCCGGGAGCCCGGTGTCGCAGGTGAATGGAAAGAACGGGGCGGGAGGCACTGACGGGCTCTGCAGGAGGCAGCGACTTCACGCTGCAGACATTTAAAAGCAGTTTGTGTGACACGTAAGCGGTGAAAAAAGTCCTTGCTGAAAATGTTAGAGAAAACCAGCAAATATCTTTTGCAGGAGGTAAAACAGGGCTTGTGGTCTGTCGGTGGCTTCTAAGGAGGGGCAGGCAGCAAGGGTACAAGCTTTGGAATAGAATAAGCAAAGTATCTCTACAGCTCAATTAACCCGTGTCCTACAGCTACCGGGAAGCGGGTGTAGGGAGGGTAGTCTCTATGAGAAATGGAAAATCTGCTTGTTTTGTGGTGGGGAAACGTTACATGCTTGGGGTAAGCGTTGTATGTTGTGTAGTTTCTCCGTGAAAAAAGATAAAAACTATTAATCTGAATATTGTCACTTCTTTATAAACAACTGTTTGTGTTTCAGGTGACCGAGATGAACCCATCAAGTTGGAGAGTTTCTCTTCAGTAATGCTGCTTTGGAGTAGAGGGAACAGAAAATAATGTACTGAAAAGGGAGCTGGAGAGGGAGCGATCAAAATAATGACAAAAAGAGTAGTTCTGAAGTGAGATCCCAATGCTAACGGAAAAGTTAAAGTATTGCAAATACTTTGTTATCTCTCAGGTTTTTGGCTACATACCCAGATAGTCATTGGACAGTTCCGAAATTAGAAGAGTGCCTTCCTCCCATCCATGAAATCTGACAGATGCAATTTTTTAGTAACATGGGCTTCAGAAATCAGGATACAGGGATGCAGAATTCAGTGCCTCTCTCTGAATTAATTTTAAGACTGAAGACTTTATTTTCAAAACTGTGTTCAATTTTTTTTTTTTAAATAGTTAAGACTTACTGTGGGTGAGAAGCCAAATTTTGTTACCTGGCCTCCATCACAGAGTAAGATTACTGAAGATGATTACTGCACAGGAAGGGAAAATATGCAGTCGTGAATAGCTAGTGTTATACCTAGGGATGTATTTGGCTTCTCTGTGTTATTTAAAAATAACATTCTCTCTTGCATGAGTGTTCAGTGACGTTGCTCTTCCCAAAGCAAACCTTTATGGAAGAAGAGGAAATCGTACTATGTGGTTAGCACATAAACTAGCTAAATTTTGTTAGCTGTAGGGTATTGTTAAGTATGAGCTGGTTTAATTTAAACTCAGCTAATTTTATTTAAAATACCTTCTGTTCACTTACTCTAAAGCTGTATCCCCAGACTCATTAGGAAGAGTTTAATGCTGTAGCAATCCATTTTAAATGAGTTTTTTCTCCATATGTATTTGTAATATAAATTGATTGTTAAAGTAAATGGATTCTACTACAATCTGAGTAAATTATGTAGCCAGATTATAGAGGAATAGTAATACCCAAGGATGTTGATCATTCTTTGTTGCAGTACCTTATTTAACCAGGATTTGATGAAGAACATCTATTTATGTGCAAGTTTCAACACAGATGTGTGTGAAACGGCGTATAGAAAAATTAGTATGACATCATTGTTTATTTTTGGATTCTTGGTGGGATTATATTTTCTTTGGGAAGACAAATGAATTTTCTTGTACTGCATCTTGAATTTCTTGAAACTTTTTGGTCCATAGTTAGGTTAAGAGCCTCTCTTTGTATGCCAAAGAATGAAAAATTTGTTGGTTACGTTGTAGACAGAAGTTTGGATTTCACTGTTTTTTCACAAACCTCCTGACATCTAAAGAATGTATCAGTGCATCAATTATATTGATATTTTTATCAGTTATTTATACAAATAGTTTTTTCTACATTTCAGATTTGACAGCTGTCTCAGAATATTTCTTTTATCCTCTCTGCTTTTGTCATTGGGCAGAAAGTAGGTATTTTGAGAATGGTATTCAGAAGACATTTCTGGTTACTTTCACATCAGTTCTCTTTCGGAAGGGCAGATGGCAGTATGAACCACTTCTCACAGATTTCAGTGGACATGTGTTTTTTCCTTCCCCTTTGTGTGAATGGTCATGCATATTTCATCTACATTTAATGGAATGAATCTTTTTGTGAAGAGGGGGCTGGGTGCTGGGAGCTTTGCCTCTGTGTACTTGGCTTTCTCCTGTTTCCTTAGCTGATGAAATGCTAGAGGTCTTTCAGTACCAAAATGATTTCAAGTGGTCTTGAATTTTTCCCTAGGGATTATTTTCAATTTTTTTTTGTTAGTATTAAGTTGCAGTTGCATACTCTGGCAGGGGCAGTAGTTGACTGGAACTCTGAATGGACAAGATGCATCTTGGATGAAATTCCTTTGTCTGTGGTGTCTGAAACCATGATCAAAGGTCTTTGAAGCAGCTATCACATCAACAGTGTCATCTGTTTTAAAGAGAAACCATACAAAGCTGCAGTGGCACTTGGATAGCAAAGATACAAAATAGGTTGCTAGTAAGGTTATATCTTGGTAGAACAACGGCTTGTGGGACAGACATACTAAAAGTACACTTTTTAATTTGCCCATGCTGAACAGATCAGTCCCTGATACGCGGTATCTTTTTTTCAAGATGTTAAAACTGCCACAAGACAGCTCAGAATGACAGCGTGTTTTGTTTCTGAAGTGATGTTTACCATCTTACATCCTGAACTGAGTCCTTTGCTTTCTGTTGGATAACTTTTTCTTCTCTTTTGCTCCCAGATTATGTATTTTGCTTGTTTCTTAGCTATGTAGCCTAACATGCTATCTGGGATGAGCTATCTGGCTCTTCATTTTTGGTGATTTTTTATTTTTTTGTAGCCTGTTTCTCCATCTAGTTCAAGATCCAATTAAGCTTTCTTCTTTCTACAGCCTCAGAATTGCTAGCTGAAATGCTGGTTAGCTGGAAGAGAGGAAATACTGCTGAACAGCGATGTGGATGTAGAGAGGATTAGGTGGTCGTGTGTCGTGGTTTAAACCCAGTCAGCCACGCAAGTCTCGCTCACTCATCCCTCTTCCTCCCACCACTCCCAGAGGGATGGGGAGGACAATCGAAAGAATGTAACTCCCATGGGTTCAGATAAGAACAGTCCAGTAACTAAGTATAACACAAATCACTGCTGCTACCACCAATAATAATAATGATAAGGGAAATAACAAGGGAAGAGAATACAACTGCTCACCACCCACTGATACTCAGCCTGACTGAGCAGTGATCCAACCCCTCCAGGCAACTGCCCCCAGTTCACACACTGGCCATGATGTGCTGTGGTATGGAACACCTCTTTGGTTAGTTTGGGTCAGGCGTCCTGTCCTTGCCCTCCCCCGCCCCACCCCGGGGCTTCCCCTTCTCCAGGGCAGAGCATGAGACTCAAAGTCCTTGGTCAAAGTAAACATGACTTAGCAACAACCAGAAACATCAGTGCTGTTCCCAGGCTGAAAGTCAAAACCACAGCACTGCACCAGCCATCAAGGAGAAAAAATGACTGCCACTGCTGAACCCAGGACATCGTGTTAGAATCATTTTATTGTCTAAGTAGCAGACATTTAGACACATTATGATGGCTGTATTTAGTACTGGCTTCTTTCTTATTCAAAGTGCTGTACAGACATTAAGGTCAGGAACATGCCTGCCTCCCAGCCATCATCCTCCTTCCTCCAGAGGTATTTAAAAATAAGGAAGGCAGAGAGAGGGTATGAAGAATTTCCCTAGTGCAAGTCAAGCAGCAGAAATAAGATGGAATAGCAGCCTTGTCAATCAAAATCCACAAGTATTGCACAATGCCTGTGTAAGGCTACCAGAAATTGCTCTTTCAGAGGAGACATGGGGTGAGGACTGTCAGCATCCTAGCCGTCCAGAGACCCCCCCAGATCTGTTTACCCTTCAAAAGAAACACTGGGGGAAGGTGACTTGAGAGGAAAAGATGGCATTGTGATTTTTATCTTTCTGGTTTGCACTATAGCCCTGAGGAAGGTTGTGACCTCTTCAGCCCCAGTTTTGTAGCTTCAGTTGGCACACCTCTTCAGCTCTTCCAGCAGAGCCAACTTGCTGTCCCCGGGAATGTCTCAATTGTTTCCAGTGAAGGCTGGTATTCCTGTTGTGGAAGAGTAATCCTGTGATTTAAGCAGCTGATTTTATGCATGTTTAAAGTATGCAGCGAAAATTAAATACATTAGTAAAAATAGATCAGTGTTTTGTTTAGTCCTTCATACTGTTACAAAACAGATACTGAAATGTTAGAGCAATCAAAAGTTAATTAAATTTCTGAATAGAGTAACAGTGTGAAAGCTGTGTTGGGTACAATTACAGCTTTTCTAAGTGAGAAGCAGAAATTTGACTGGGGGGGGGGGAAGGTAGCTGGATAAAGACACACAACCTGTTTGCTTACCATATTGTCTAAAGGAACTAAGTACACTATTAATGACGGTTTCTTTCTCTACAGGTGTTGGGTATGTTCCTTTGACTGTGATGTTTAACTACTATAATTTTCCCCTGCTTGGGTGTATCCCATACCAAACCTTTGTCTGCATGATTGAAAGACATTAATATTTAAAGGACTTCTGTATCCTGCTCCAAAGAAATAAACAAAGCAGTGGGAATAGCCTACCTACTGTATGTACCTTAGGGTATAACTGTAACACCTTGCACTGATTATAAGCAATACAGTGTTTTTTTTACAGAACTGAGCTACTCTAGTAAGCTTTGGCCCTGAACCTTATGGTCACAGGGCCTGGCACAAACAGCGAGGAGTAAGGACGCTGAATGAGTCTGCAGCTAAACAGGCTGTTTGGCAGCCCTGAGCAAGCTTGGTATACTCAGCCAGCCAGCTTTGATCAGTGAATCTCAGCTTCAGGTTCTTGTTCTCTATATGGAACTGCTGACCATACATCTGAGCAGAGCCTGGCACTGGTCTGGCAGTGTGGTAGGTGGCAGTTCAGCTTTGTTTCAAGCCACTAAGCTAACTCACACCTGGCTGTTATAGATGGGTGGTGCAGACTGGGTTCCTCCTAATGGAGGAGGTATTTATACTGAACCCTCTTGCAGAGGCCCTGCAGAGCACAGGTCCTATATTCTTTGTGCTCTGTGCTCACAGCTGGTTTAGTGTGGGCCCCACCAAGTATTTGTGCTGTGCTGCACAGCCCCTGGATCATTGTCCCTGTTATGCTGTATACTGCCTCTGCTTCTGCCACATAAAGCAATTCAGATCTGTTCTCCTCCCCAGGTATTGCTGCATCACTGCTCTCTGCACCTCAGAAACACTTTTGCAATAGTAATTAGTGCTACAGAGGTGTGGTTTTGTTAGGTTGTTTTGTTTGTTTATTTGCAGTGAGAAATTTTGATGATAATGTGAAGACATGACTAAAGACAAAAATGTATCAGTATCTTCTAAGAGCTGGAACTTGAGTTTCTATGTTTTCAATAGATTTTATATGTAAAATTATCAGATTATTGGTATAAAGCCTTATTTTATTATTAAAAATGTACATGGATTGAGATGTGGCTTTTTCTGCTCCTTTCACAATAGAATGAAAGGTCATTTATTATTCTCTGTGTACCTGGAGGACTCCTTGCCTGCAGTTACAGTTGAGTATGCAGGCATAATCAGGCTGCGTGTAATTTCTTTGCCTTTATGTGGATGACTTTCAAAATAAAACTTGCTACAGCTTCAGGCCAAAAGCTTTCTCCTTGAGCCACAGCTCCTATAATTTTTTTCCCCTCAGGCATACTTATCCTTAGCTAGTCAGGAAAGTGTGCACACAAATGATAGGTCATTAGAAAATTCTCTGAATGGCAAACCTCTGAAGTCATCCCATTTGCCATGCATCATGATGAAACTGGGTAAGTTTGAGGAGGCACTAATTATATGCTTGGTCTGTCATTTATCAGTTGTTGGCGCT